TGCCAGGGTAATAAATATCTACCATGGGCAACCATAATTTCCCAGAAAGATACCCAGTGGCTGCACATAATGGTCGTTTTTTTTTTTTTGCTCGTTCAGGGAACAGATCGAGCGTGTTTGCGTTTTAGTTTTTTTTTTGCTTCTCTTTATAGTGAGATTGCGTGGAATGTGATTTAAATGTTTCCCTTATAATGTCGACACTTTTATAAATCCTGACACAGCATATGGGTTACAGTTAACAAAATCGACCCTCCAGATGGTTAAAATCACGACCCCGAAAGGCATGCAAAACATCCGCACTGCACGCAGTCCTCCTAATTCCCAACTAATGAAAACACTTTGCCCTGTCCCCCAGAAAATAAATTCAAGTCAAAATCGGCGAGGGTTGAGCTCCGAAGGCCGAGGGATGAATTAGTCAGAAAAGCCTCTCTTTCATAAAATAGCGGCAGCTGACGAGGAGAGACCCCGAAAAAAAAAGGGACAGTGAACTTAGGGGGCAACCCTCATGGAGCAGGTACTAAAAATGTTATGCCCTTTTTTTACATTGTCGTAAACTGATCCGATGAATTAACTTTGGCTGTTGTTGTTGTTGTTGTCAAATATTTTGATTTAACGATTATTCGATTTCTGAATATAGAAAAGGGGGATTTAATGGAGAAACAGTAGATAACAAACAGCAGGAAAATGGGTAAAAGTATTGTAATTAAATTTTTTCATCAATGAATAGCAGGAGACTGCTAAAAATTCCAAACTTTCTAATTTATATATAGTAGTTATCCTAAGCCTTGGTTCTATTTGAAATTCGATCCTTAATCAGTTAAACGGTGTGTTTTCCGGAAGCCTCTGACAGTGTCGCGGCAATAAATTAATTCTAATTCGATTAAGCATCTTAAAACGAATGCTACATTAAATTTAAAATGGCTTCCCTTGTCGACAAGCATTAAACTCACGACATAAGCCCGATTTATAGATGGATCGACCCTAGAAAGCTTTATATACAGGGTGTCCCAAAAAGATACCGACAAACTTTGAGGGGTAGTAGGGGACATCAAAACAAGCATTTTTGTTTATATAAACATATGTCCGCAAATGAGCCATTCGGGCTGTAGAGCAAAAAAACTGTTTGGTACTTTGCAATAATTAAATCACTGTTTACCTATTAATTTTGCTTTAGTAACAAAAAAATTATGGTTTACAATAATTGTTCAAAATGTTGACCATTTACTTCAATGCAAAGATTACACCGTCAGGTCATTGACTGAAAAGTTTAGTCTACGAAACACGTGTTCGTAATGAGGAAGATCTGTTAGCAAGGATACTGGCGAGTTGTACTCATGTAGAAGCTATTCCCGGAATATTCCAAAGGGTTCGCGAGTCAATGATTGTTGATTGATGATTCTTCAATTCTGAACAATTATTGAAAACCATAATTTATTAGTTAATAGAGCAAAATTAATAAGTAAACAGTGATTTAATTATTGTGAAGAATAAAAGTACCACACAGTTTTTCTGCTCTACAGCCCAAATGGCTCATTTGCGGACATATGTTTATATAAACAAAAATGCTTGTTTTGATGTCCCTAACTACCCCTTAAAGTTTGTCGGTATCTTTTTGGGACACCCTGTATAAATGTCCTATACCTAAATTTAATAGTTCACGAAATATTTAGACCACTTACCTACTTCATCGATATATTTTGATATATAATTTCAAAGAATAATTGTAAAAAAAATACATCAACACCTAAATTAAAGCTAAGTAACAGACTAAAGTAAGTTTCCAATATGTCCTCCATTTTGAGCTACGCATGTAGTGTATTATAAACGGATGCGGATAATATGACAGTGGGGTAAAATAGTGAATTAGCATGGTTTCTTCAAAGGATGTTATTATTGCAATGGGTATTTCGTGAACTATTAGATTTAGGTATACGACATATACCTACCCCACGGTGGATGGCGTATTAGACGTTATGGAGAACTAAAAAGCGGATCATTTTGAAAATTTGGCAACCGGGGTAAACAGCCATGATCTACACTTTAAAAATATTTTTGTTTATGCGGTGTTGCCGCTTCTACTCTAAACCAGTGGCAACAACGCTATTTTAAATGGAATACCCTGTATGTGATTACATATTTTGATTCTACGTAAAATTCTGAGCAGATTTCATGTGATATAACCTATACCTAAGTTCAACTGTTTTGGAATTATTGACAGTTGAAAATTGACTTTTTGCAACTTTGACAGGCTGTAAAACCTGAACGGTTAATTTAAGAGAAAAACCAATTTCACATTCCTATCTTACAGTTTCATGAACTATCATTTGACACCAACTTTAATCATGGATTAAATTTGAAGTTGGTATCAAATGATAGTTTATAAAAATCTAAGATCGGAATGTAAAATTGGTTTTTCTCTAAAATTAACCGTTCAGGTTTTACTGCCTGTCAAAGTTGCAAAAAGTCGATTTTCAACTGTCAATAATTCCAAAACAGTTGAATTGAGGTATAGGGTATATCACATGAAATCTGCTCAGAATTTTACGTAAAATCCAAATATGTAATCAGATACAGGGTGTTCCATTTAAAATAGCGCTGTTGCCACTGGTTTAGGGTAGAACAAAAATATTTTTAAAGTGTAGATTATGGTCGTTTATCCCGGTTGCCAAATTTTCAAAATGATCCGCTTTTTAGTTTTCCATAAACGTCTAATACGCCATCCACCGTAGGACACCCTGTATATATGAATGGATAGGTATTTTTAGCCTTTTTAACAAAAAAATATCAAATATAGAGTGTTCCATAAAAAAAAACTTAGATATTGCAAATTGAAAATTTAAAAAAATGTCCCATGATCTGAGACACTCTGTAAAAATTCAAAGCGCTTAGCCATCGTAGATCGTTGGGAGGTAGTCTTCTTAAGGTGTGGTTAAAATTTTATTTAATAATTTCAACTACCAGCCGCACAAGACACTATTTGCTGAGGGCATAAATTTGCTGAAAAAATACATAACCTCAATTTTTGCCTAAATTACACAAAATTCGAACAGGGAGTCCTTATGAAAGTTACCTTTATTTTTCTCCGGGAATCCAAAAATGTAAAATTATACAAGGTGTCCCATTTAAAATTCTGGTTTTGAAGTCGGTGCAGCACTTTTGGGACACCCTGTATGAATAAAACTCAAATAATTGACAGCATTGCTTAGAACCAAGAAACTTTTGTACCTATTTATATTTTGTTTGTACACCCTATAGTTTTTGAGAAAAGACATAGGCCCCTAATAAAATGCCCACCCTGTACATGCAAGCCTTTCAATTGCTAAATTGTCTTGGATCCAAGCATAATCTTAATGAGCCATCCTTTTTCTCGACACTAACAATATATTAGGTAACCCAAGCCGAGACCCAGCCAGAGGGCTTCTCTACTCTTGAAATAATTTTTCTATGTTCTAAACTCAATAAAGAAAGTACCAAAAACTCGAAAGATATAATAAGGCTAATAAAAATAATAAACATGAAAAACGTGATCATCAAAAACAGGACACCATATATACTCGCCACACACGCAAAAACAACAAGTAACTATACTATAGGCTCAGAGAAAGAAAAAACCAAAAATATAAATACAACAAATATACCGAGGCAAATACCTAATTTCCAAGAATTAAACAAAATACTAGAACAACTAACGACGTATTCGCAACTGTAGGCAATGAACAACAAGAATACAAAATTAATGAGCCAGGAACAGACAAATAGGTATAACAGATAGTAATCGTCGAACACTGCATATTACTTGGATAATGGTATCAGACCAAGAATGTTTAAAAGTGGTAGGTTGCCTGATAACTTTTATGACGTCATCTGGAGTAGACAAACATAATGTAAATCTCCATTAGGCACCCCAGATGACGCCATCTGTTTCACATCACTAGACAACCTATCAACTTTGGTATCGGACAAGAAAAATCAAACCAGAAACCTAAAATTTAAAAAGACACAACTAACATGGGCTGCATTCGGTAAACTTATATATACATCTTGAAAAATAATAATTCCATTCTCATAACCCTAGAAAGAAAAGTACCTATACGACACTTCATATTACCAGTGTGTACCTACATGGATTGCATAGGTATCCCTCACCAAAATGTCACAGACGGACAGGAAGAACCCTAGAATGGAGACCAAGAGAGACAACAAGAAGTATGGGAAACACTTCAATAAAGGTAAATGGACGACATATTAATAAGGACAGTGCTAGAAGTTCTGGATGAGATTAGAGGTAAATAGGAAAAGATGAAAACAATAAGGAGAGACCTACATCCAGGAGAAAATGTAGAATAAAATATCTGAAATTTCATAAGCTTCAATGGATTTTTACCTGAAAATGGATAGGTACCTACCTACTGAGTAGGTACTTACCTGAGTCAAAACCAAAAATGTTCAATGTTAAAATGTTGACCTACCTAATTCAAATACTAGGACTACCTACGACACTACTAATGTTTATTGATAAAATGATAGACATAAAATATCGCATGTATAATTTTTTGCCGTCGGAGAAGCCAACATCAGAACGAGTTTTTTTTTTCTAATTCTTTCAGTTGTTTTGAGTTTAAGATCATTTGAAGCAGATACACAAATTAAGGTCCGCTCACATTAAACTTAAGCGCAATGGTGAATTTGTTTTATGGCATACACGTTAATGAGCGTGAACGTACCGCCAAATGTAGAAATTCCTATTTAAAGTACACATGCCATAATTGTTCGAGTGCAACGTGACTTGAACGAATAGTGTGATTTGGCTTTTAAGGGTTAAAAAAAAACAATTGTTTCACAAATGTTGTTTTTGTTAGTTTACAATCCGACGGAAAGATTAGGATATAAAAACTTTTATACTTGAGGGATTTTGTTCTGTTTTTGGAAGTGGAATTTGTTAGTTTTTAGGTTTAGGATGCATGTTTAAAATCTGCTTTAGTGGAGAATATAAGACTTACCGGATGCCGAGCTGCCGCAACTGCAGCTGCCGCCGCGGCGTTCATTCCGGCACTAGGATACATCTTACGTCAGCAAATCATCATATCTATCCCAAAATCAAAAAATTGTCTATTTATGGTACTGGTACTCCAACAAGAACAAAAAAGTAAAGTAGGTAATCCAAATTAAGAGCACTTGAAAAGATAACACAAAACACCAAATGAGCACACTAAACCTCACAAAAACCACCACATAATCCAAAAAAAAAATAAAAATCTCTCCTGAGTGTTCAGTGTCCAAATCGGAATCCAGAAGCAACAAAAACGAATCGTACGTAAAACGACTCGCGTCTCGATAGCGACGCGTATCACAACCGACTGACGGCACGGCACGGTTTGAGGCCCCTTCCTCCGCTACGCTTTGCCACGCTATCCTGCCGTCCCGCTCGCTCTCGCTCACCCTTAAACCGCTAACACACCCCACACTCTTTAACAAAAAAAAGCCTACACAACCACCCCTTGAAAATACCGACGGGCGAGTGTACAGTCTGACGAAAAAAAAAAAACGCTCGGTTTATCAACGCGGACAAATTGATTACGCCGCGCGATAGCGGACGCCTAATTACGAAGTTTACTACGCTGCCGCCTGCCTGCATGGATGCCGGGGGTATTTATTAGTAAAGTGGGTGACGCCGGCTTAATGGCTATACAAAAATTTCTATAAATACAACGTTTCAGTTGACATTGTTGACAAATGTATATACACGATAATTAATTTTGGCTTTTTTATTTTTAATGCTTCACGTAAAATTTACTTTAAGAAGCAGGGGCAATAAGATTATTATTTGCCAAAAACTTCCCTTATTCGAATTGAATTATTATTAACATAATTTATAACCTCTAGGGTCATTAAGATTCATAAATTTTACACCCTTCTTGTAATAATTGTGAATGGGCTTATTTGGTTTGGTATAGGTAATACCATAGACTACCTGGAGCATTTTGGAATTGAAATTCAAAGCACTTTAATGGATTTCAAGAGAAATGAGAATTTTTGCCTTTCATTTTGAGGAAGGCTCTTTTTTTTCAATAATAAACCACCATGTAGGTAATAATTAAATGTTTACTTATAGAACATAGTTCCGGAAGCTAATTATCATTAAAGTAACGCCGGTTACATTTTAATTGGTCCAAAACTCCCAGATAGGACAATTAGCGGGCCCAGTGTAGTGGCAAACTGTGGCGCTTTGTTTTGAAATTGTGACGTTTTAGCCCCCCCAAAACACTCCAAACATACCCCAGGGCGTTTATCAGCCGCCGAAACCGCCGTAGTCCGCCTCGCCCCCGGCCCCCTTGCGGCGGTCAGCGCGAAAACTAACCCACCCCCAACCCCCCATCGTAGCGGCAGCGGCAATCCCGAGACCGCGCCACTTTGCATTTGCTTGACTCACACCCCCGAAATGATTCCGAACATGTTCACTACAAAAAACTCTAAAAAATAAAAAAGAAAAAAACTACCCTCAAAATGGCTGCCTGGCAGAAAGCATCTCATTTTAGCTGAAACAGGGGTGGAATTTGTCCTTGTTCCACCCGCGTGATTTCACTTCATCCCCTTTCACCCCTATAAATATGGCGCCCTGATTGCCAGTATACCAAGCTGGTCTGGAGTCCACGTTGACTAAGTTTGTACAATACAAGCGCGCCAACTAGAAAGCACGCTACGACCGCCGCAACCAATACGACCGCTAGGAGGCGCTAATGCCGCCCAGTTTAAACGAAAACGCTGCCACGACGGAGTTTAAGCCAATGATATCCTACTACGACCCAATCGACGTGACGGATTTCAGGTTCGTTGCTATGGAACGTCGTGACAGATACATCGAGTCCACGTTGACTCTCTCGGAGCCGAGGTGCCAGTACATTGCTTGCAGGATCCTGTACGCAGCGGGCAAACCAGCAAAAATAAGAGCCGACTGAAAAAATATATATAACTGGAGATAAAATCTAGTGGGCCGGGTGCGGGTTAGTTCGAGCAGAACAAAAGCATTACTCGACCTACCGAGTTATTAGAGGGACTCGGGGAGGTCAGATTTTATTATATATACGAAAGTCGAATTAGATGGAAACGAACACGTTTTTACAATTCCGATTTAAATAATATACCCTTCGTTCGTTCGGGGAAGGAATTAGCGAATGCTCGGGTTGGGGACGCCCTTTTGTCTTATCTGGATGTTGATAACGGCGGTTTAAGGGGTGAGTGAGTAGAGAATAGGATGATTAAAAGCTGTTAAGTAAAGACTTTGGTAATATCGTTCATGTAACATGCAATTAGAGTATGTAGTAGAAAAAAAAGAGTCATTCGTTTTTTTCAGAGTCATTCTTGGTCCACTATGGAACAAGGACCATCTAGAATGCATTGCATTATTTCCAACATGTAGGTATATTGAAAGGTTTATCCTGGTTAATGTTAATGTTACAATTCATAAATGTGAACATCGAAATGTTCCGCGAACGTACCCCAAATTTATGTATGACTTTTCGACATCCTGTCATTAGTGTCAGTAGTTGTTTTTGAAGTTGTCAGCAGTGTATGTATATTTTGTTTATCAGAATAAACTCAATAAACCTTTTATAATAGGGAACTTGCACATTAAATTAAATATGAAATAAATAATAAAATACAATAACAATAATCCTAATAAATGATGCAATTAGGAAAAGGATACAATATCTTATCTCTGGTTTTCAAAATCTTCAATTGAAAATACCAAATAATTCGAAATTCTTAATGTCAAATCTATCATAAACGGCATACATAACAACATAACCATAATCTACTCGCAGGTTCCTGTCAACCAAGGACTGTGAACGGAATTTTGTTGCTGAGTGACGTCACACTAATCGGTCGTTTCAAATGGCGATGTTTCGAGCGTAACTTCAAATATTTATAAAAAATTAACGGCTGATTTTTAATGCTTGATATTTGGCATGACTATGTCTTTAGTGTAGTACAACACATTTTTGAAATAAAAAAAAAATGTGCAAGTTCCCTATTGTATTACATAAAAGTCTTTAAAACAAAAGCCTCTGGTTGATAGATTATGTGCCCAGTAACTAACAAGGCAGTCGCGGAAATAGAGTAGTTCGCGGAAATAGAGTAGTTCGCGGAAAAAGAGTAGTTCGCGGAAAATCGTTTTAAAGTGGAGTTTATTGTCGGTGGCAAAAAAAGGGTTAGGTAATCGCAGTCTAAAACCAGTGAAAAAATGGCATCAAGTAGTGGAACAATTACCGTGAATACTTTCGATGGTTCTGGACACAGTAATTGGGAATTTCGAGTGAAATTACTACTTGAATACCATGATGTTCGGGAGTCTTGATGCAACAGCAACAGATATAACAGCACTCAGCGCATGGAACAAGAAAGATCTGAAAGCACGAAATTTGATTGTTCAATGTCTAGCGGACAATGTGCTGGAGAGATGATTAAGTTGAAAATCACAGCTAAGGAAATTATGGAAACTTGAAAACCATAAGCGGAACTCATCAGAAAAGTTGATTGGCTACACGGTTGCAACTTCAGTGCAAGTTTAGGAATATGAAATTCAACTCGGCTGAATCGTTGAATGCTTTTCTGAGAATTTGAAAAAATGATCATGGAACTAAAGAAATGTGGTGGGACCATAAGCGACACAGAAGTGATACCCCAACTTTTGGCAGTCATGCCTGTGACCACAACAATTGACATTTACTTTTTTCAGAATCGGACAGTTGATACCCTAGATTTTGTCAAGAGCAAGTTGCTATTAGAGGAGTCTAGACAAAAGAAATGTGATAGTCATGGGTGAAAGCTCCACACTGGCTTTCGGAGCACAGAAAAAGAAAGGCATGTAGAAGGGAAAATTTCCATTTAAATGCTACTGATGTGGCTTACGAGAACATTAGAAATCGGATTGTTTCAAGAATAAGCAAGAAGACCACAATTAATATCCAAAAAGAAATACAAATATTGCTGAAGACTAGGAAGTAACTTTTATTACATGCTTAACCTCAGAAAATTGTAACTCTGGAAATGGTACTATTGATTTTGTAGTGGATAGTAGAGCAACAAACCACGTGGTGACACGAAATTTGTAAAAGTATCTGGTAGATACACAGAAAGTTCAGCATTACATTAAAGTTGCTAAACAAGGCGTTTCTGTTGAAGCCCACATAGAAGGAACACTGCACTTAAAAACTAAGAATGGATTAAATATTAAGTTGCAAAATGTTTTGGTATGTAAGAATCTCTCGCATAATCTATTATCTGTAAAGAAAATAGAAGGAAAAGGCCTCAAGATAATCTTTGAGAAAAGCCAGATATCAGTCTTGAATGGTGAAAATGAAGTAGCTTTAGGAAAATTGATGGGAAATTTGTATATTGTGAACTTTGAAATACCAGAAATGCAAGCAAATATCACAGTGCAAGAAAAAGGGAAACAGACAAGAAAACCATTTGTACAATTGCCAGAAGAGAGAAAGGCGAAAAGAATAATAAAGTGATTTTTAGAGATGTCTGTGGACCTATACATCCCGTAACGCATGATGGTATGAAGTATTTTGTTAGTTTCATAGACAACTTCTCACATTTTTCAGTGATTTATTTTATAACCCATAAGAGTGAAGTTTGCCAGAAATTTAAAGAATGGTCAAGAACAAATTTGGTAAATTACCTAAAAGAGTACGATGTGACAATGGCGGGGAGTATATTTCTCACGAAATGAAGAATTATTGTTAACAAAAAGGTGTCAAGTTAGAATACACAATACCAAGAACCCCCGACCAAAATGGAATTTCCGAACGTTGCAATAGAAAAAGCAAGATGCTTGATTTTTGAGGCAAATTAGAGCAAAGATTTTTGGAAAGAGGCTGTTGCCACATCAGCATTTCTCATAAATAGAACCTTAACATCTGTTCTATCAGAGAATAAAACCCCATCTGAAATTTCGCACAAACAGAACCAAATCTTCAAAAGATAAGAGTTTTTGGTTGCACAGCACATGTACATATTCCAGAGGATAGACATGGAAAATTAGATCCCAGAAGCCGTAAGATGTTCTTAGTGGGATATATTATCATTGAAGAAAAATAACACATGGAAACTAGTGCCCAAATCAAGTATTTCATATAGTGAAAAAGTGATCGATTCTAGATGGATTTTTCGTGAAAAAGATGTTAATGGGGAGTAACACCAGATGTAACACCTCCATGTACGGAATTAATTCCAAAATATTTTCCCTAAAATTTTTCGGGCCGGTATTTTAATGTCACCTTAAGATACAGAATGCGAGGTTCCTGGGTTCAAATCCAAGAAAATTTTTCTTCAGTTTTAATTGAAGCGTCTGAATGCCCATTAAAATTGAACACACTGTACATTATAGTACAGAATAACGTTGAGTCATCCTTACTACAAGTTTTACCGTATATCAAAGTTCGCTTAATTTAAGGTGGATCTTAAGCCACCTAATGGCCATTTACACAGACCATCTTAGGCAAGGCATAACAATAAGTATTCCTTAGGGCCGGTATTCCAATGTCATCTTAAATACAGAATAACGTTCACGTCATCCTTAATACAAGTTTCATCGTGTATCAAAGTTTCTTCAATTCAAGTTGGATTTTATAAGCCACCTGAATGAACTGATTTCAAGTTCACCTTAACGGTAAGGGTACCTTGGGTAAGT